TCATCGGTTTATTTTTTTCTGGTAAGCAAAGATTTCTTCAAGCTACGTCCATTCTACACCATACAGAGAAATCTAATGGTCGCAGTACGCCTTCCATGCGTCACTTGGAAATGTCCACTTGTTGAATGATGATTGTAGAGCCGGACCTGCGCACCGTCCTTCCGAAAACGGGGACCTGAAATCAAACACTTCCTGTGCCACCTTAACAGCCGCTTTGTACGAAACGGCCGGGGAGACCCCAGCTCGGGGGTTTGTACCATTCACTCCATCTTTTTGCCTCTCGTCGCCTCAGCCTGGGCAAGATACTTGCACTGCCAGCCTGATGGGTCAGCTGGTGTGCAGGGGATAAATGGAACTTTGTATAATTACAAAAAAAGTATTAAAGGTTTTGCTTTTTTTATTTAATTTTTAGGTCAATGTGTATGTGAACTGAGAGGGGATTTTGTATCTTGACATTCTACTGGACTTGTTCTGTAATATTGAAGATGTTCTGGAGCTTCTCCAGGCCACATCTTCAGTTCCAATAAGTGTCACCAGTTTCGGGGTAAACACACCAAAATGTTTGCCAATATTTCTCATTTCTCCAGGCCTTGGGCTGGAGCTGGTAATCGATCATATTCTGGATTTGTTCTGTTATATTGAAGACGTTCCGTAGCTTCTCCAACCCAACTGAAGAAGTGACTTGGAGAAGCTACAAATGATCTTCACCATACAGAACAAGTCCAGTTGAATGTGATCGATTATCAGCTCCATACCATGACCTGGAGAAATGAGAAATATTGGCAATCATTTTGGGGTGTATACCCCGAAACTGGTGACACTTATTGGAACTGAAGATGTGGCTTGGAGAAGCTACAAAAGGTCTTCAACATTACAGATCAAGTCCAGTCCAATGTGACCAACTACCACCAGCTATACCATGACCTGGAGAACCTCCAGCAGCAACCACATGCCATCCTAATGACCTGTAGTGCCGGTGATGAGGTCAGGCTACAGGTCCCACATAGGGGTCTGGTCCTCATCTCTCCATCACATACACATGAAGCTGGGGGGGGGGGGGGGGGGGTTTCGGGGGAATTGATTTTGTTGTTGTTACATCACCATAGTTTTACTTTAATCAAAGGGTCCTTCCAACAGGCAAATTCATTGGTTGAGCAAGTAGCAAGTCTTCAAATCCCACCAATGATATCATCTGCATGGAGGTTGTATCTTCTCCATCGTGAGCTTGCTCCACTTTCCCTCCACGATCCAGAAACATCCTAACAGGCTATATGCATTCGACACAAAATCTGAGTGTGATTGTGTGTCATGGTGTTGAGGACACTGGATTGTGTGTCATGGGACTGAGGACACTGGATTGTGTGTCATGGTGCTGAGGACACTAGATTGTGTGTAATGGTGCTGCGGACACTGGATTGTGTGTCATGGTGCTGCGGACACTAGATTGTGTGTCATGGTGTTGAGGACACTAGATTGTGTGTCATGGTGCTGCGGACACTAGATTGTGTGTCATGGTGCTGCGGACACTAGATTGTGTGTCATGGTGCTGAGGACACTGGATTGTGTGTCATGGTGCTGAGGACACTAGATTGTGTGTAATGGTGCTGCGGACACTGGATTGTGTGTCATGGTGCTGCGGACACTAGATTGTGTGTCATGGTGTTGAGGACACTAGATTGTGTGTCATGGTGCTGCGGACACTAGATTGTGTGTCATGGTGCTGCGGACACTAGATTGTGTGTCATGGTGCTGCGGACACTAGATTGTGTGTCATGGTGTTGAGGACACTGGATTGTGTGTCATGGTGTTGAGGACACTGGATTGTGTGTCATGGTGCTGCAGACACTAGATTGTGTGTCATGGTGCTGCAGACACTAGATTGTGTGTCATGGTGCTGCGGACACTAGATTGTGTGTCATGGTGCTGAGGACACTGGATTGTGTGTCATGGGACGGAGGACACTAGATTGTGTGTCATGGTGCCGCGGACACTAGATTGTGTGTCATGGGACTGAGGACACTAGATTGTGTGTCATGGTGCTGAGGACACTGGATTGTGTGTCATGGTGCTGCGGACACTGGATTGTGAGCTCCTTTCCTTCCACGATCCAAAAACATCCTAATAGGCAATATGACACAAAATCACTGCACTGCGTGTCATGGTGCTGTGACACTGGATTGTAGGCTCCTTTGGGAGACACCGCCGGGCCTGAATGGTTCACTGTCCTTTGTACATCGCTATGGAATAGGTCGGCACTCTATAAATTAATAAAATCAGTCGGTCCAAATACTGAAGTCCTTCTAGCAAACTTTCTGCTTCCTCGTCGCTCATTCCGCGGTCAGGTTCCAACTTGTAACATCCCGAGTTCAGCTCTCTCACTTTCAAATTCTCTCCCCGTTCTCCACGCCGCGTCACGTCCAGCTCCCCGCGTCGGAATCCCCGTTACATTTTTGTGAGTCGCAGTATGTTGAGGCGCACGGGGATGAAAGTCGCTCCGGCGGCGTAACGGATCTCGCGGAGAATTCCCTCCCACTTCTTCTCATCCTCGTTATACCTGGAAGTAACACAAACATTTTAAGGTGGACGCCGTGCATGAACTGCTGCATTTCAGGATGGGTCATCGCATGTAACATTGCCTGCGTTCCCTTCCACTGCAAACGCAAAAAAATGCTCCATGCTCTATTATTTGCGTTTGCAGTGTAACGGAACACAGGCAATGTTTTGCCACGCATCAGATCGCACTACGTGCGGGGGAGGGGGGGCGTGGCTGCGGTGCCATTGACTTTAATGCACCGCCGCGCCCCCTCTCGCACCAGAACGAAGGGGGAAGTTTTGTGAGCGATTGCAGTGCGTTCCACCAGCTGCGGCTCTGGAACGCAACGCAATTGGTGTGAACAAGCCCTTAGCACTTTAATGCAAAGTGCATTCATTCTTTGTGTCCTTTTTCCCTGACTCAACCTAACCCACCCCCCCCCCCCCCCCCCCCAACCGATACCCCCCCCGCCC